AAAGCTTATTCTAAAAGAAAAAAGGCAAATCATTTCCAAACATGTTAAAATTGCAGTGTAAAATGTGGAACAGAAATGGATATGTTACATTCATAAAAAGGGCCATTTTATAGTTCTTAAATGCTCAAGGGGGGGATAAAAGTTTTCTTTAGCACCATAAAACAGGAGCAACTTCCTAACGAGGTGCCTCTAGTTCTATGGGAGGGAACTCAAGGAGCAGTAAAGTACATTCACATCTCTGGAGGCAGCAGTCGAAACGCCCCGGAACGGAGCAGCTCCTTGGATTTCTACCCTGCTTCCCACTGGGAGTAAGAGACAAAAGGAGTTTAACTGGTACCTTTCTTTTGTGTGTGTATGTGTGTGTGTGTGTGGTTTAGTCTACGTTTGAGTCTTCCCTTTGTGCTTTTGCAATGGACGTTTGTCTGTCTAGCGAAGGGTAGTGGCGAATATCAATTTGACTTCTGGTTTCCTTTTGTACCAAGTGTTCAAAGGCTCAGTAAACGTGTCTGGCAACCCAAGCATCCTGCGAGATGGAGGGCATCCTCCTGCTTTAGATCCCAATTCCCTTAGATGGCTGTTACTCCACTGTCATTAGTGTCACTTGTTTACCTGAGAAACAGATTTGAAAGCCTTGCTTCTACCACAGACATTGTACTTTGATTATTTTATATATATTTAATTCCTTTTTTTTTCTTTTTTTTGCATTATTTCATATGCTGAAGAGATAAAGAGGCACATTCTCAAACAGACATCAGTGGCTTGAACCATGCAACTTCCACTGGACCCCCTGGGAGCTGCACAGAGTCCAACACACCGAGCTGAGAAAGTAAGACCGAGGGCCTGATCCTGCACTCACTGAAGTCCACACACCTGATCCTCTGCTCACTTACACTGACCTCAAGGGAGTTTTTGCTCATGATTTAACAGCAAAGGCCACTGCCATCCAGGAAAACACTTGGGGAGGAAGAGCCTATGGGACCCACCCGAGTGCTTTGCTGGATCGGGACCTTAGGGAAAGAAGAATATGGTCCAGCAGGTAAAGGATGAAAACGTTTAAAACATCTTTATTTTGGTTCGTGGCTCACTGGAGCCATAGTGCCAGGAAAAACCAATAGCAATGGGTTCACAAAGCGATCCCGGCCGGGCTGAAAACAGCCTCAGCTCTTTCTCTGAATGCAGGCCTGGCCTCGGCAGGACAGTGCAGCACCAGCAAGGACAGCCCTAGTGCTCTGCTCACCTCCTCCTCCTCCCAGAACAACGCCTAAATCTGGTCCACGGTCATTATTCTCAAGCTGTTGTTCAAGAAATCCCCCCTTTTTATGCTTATAAAAGAAAAGCAAGATGTAAACCTGGAAAAGAGGCTTTTTTTTTCTTTTATAAAAACCTATTACTTGAATCCCCATCATTGATTATTTTTCTATTTACAAAACCTCTGTATGCAAGTACCTCCAGCAATCGATGGTCACTGGGGGTGGGCTGGCTACTGCTAGGTTGCTGTAGGGTTTCTTTCTGCAGGACATCCCCTGCATGGCACAGTCACTGCAGAGACCCATGCTCCCATTCCACAGGACTCCTTCAGGAGGTGGAGCAAGAGACATAAGAAGTGCTCCACGTTGTTCTCCTCTCAGATGGATTTTATGACCTTCCTTTGCAAGTGGCTGGTTTTCCCTTCCTAATTTCATTGCCAATTATAGGTTGCCCAAGCCACAGTGTGCCAGCACAGTGAAGCTTTAGGAGAGCAGCATCACCGACACTGGTCCTGTCATACAGCGCCCAGTGGGACGCCTCTAGAGTAGGAGCGAGACAAGAAAAAGTAGAAAAGACATTTCAGTGGATGCTGCAGAATAAAAGTCTTTTACCTGGCTTGGATTAGTTGTCCCAAAGAGGCAGGAGCCCAAGAAGAAGATGCAAGAGGAGGCTGTAAGTGCAACGGGACTGAGCTGGAGGATGAGCTGAGATGGGAGCCAACACGGGGAGCCCCGGAGTGCGTGGATGGTGGGCAGGGATGGATGGAACCCATGTCCTGGTCCTCCCACAGCTGGGAACTGTGCCATAAAAAACAAAATCTCACCAATACTGACAAGAAGGGCAAGCGGAGAAAGAGAGGTGGGATGGCAAAGAGTGGAGCAAGAGTGGGGAGTGATGACAACCTTGAGGTAGTGATAGGCAAGTGGAGATGAATTTTAGGAAAGCAAACTTGCAGCTCTTCAAGGAGTTGGTCAATAGACCCCCCAAGGGAACTGTCTGCAGGGACAGGGGAGCAGAGCAGAGCTGGCAGATCTTTAAGGATGCTTTCCATAGAGCACAAGAACTCTTGATCCCCAGGTATAAGAAATCAGGAAAGGAAGGCAAGAGGATGGCCTGGCTGAGTTGAGACCCACTGATCAGAGTAAAGGGCAAGAAGGAAACACACAGGCAGTAGAAGCAGGGGCAGGTGTCCTGGGAAGAGTATAGGAATGTTGCCTGGTTGTGTAGGGATGGGGTTGGGAAGGCCAAGGAGCAGCTGGACCTGGACTTGGCAAGGGATGCACAGAATAATAGAAAGGGCTTTCACCAAAGGCAGGTCCTGCCTGACCAACCCAGTGGCCTTCTATGAGGAGTGACTACATGAGTGGAGAAGGGATGAGCTACAGATGTCAACTATGTAATGATTCTGTGATTCTGATTCTGTGACTTCTGTAAGGCTTTTGACATGATCCCCTAAAGCATCCTTCTTCCTAAATGGGAGAGATGGATCTGATGGATGGACTGTTCAGTGGATGAGGATGGATGATGCCACATCCAGAGGGTAGTGGTCAACAGCTCAATGTCTGGATGGTGATGGGTGACAAGTGGTGTCCCTCAGGGGTCCATACTGGGACCAGCGCTGTTTAGTATCTTCATCAGTAACACAGTGGGGTTGAGCACAATCTCAGCAAATGACACCAAGCTGAGTAGTGTGGTTGAAATGCCTGAGGGACACGATGCCATCCAGAGGGACCTGGACAAGCTTGAGAGGTGGGACCATGCAAACCTCATGAGGCTCAACAAGGCCGAGTGCAGGGTCCTGCACTTCGGTTGGAGAACCCCCCAGTATCTACACAGGCTGGGGGTGAAGGGATTGAGAGCAGCCCTGTGGAGAAGGACGTCAGGAAGAAATCTGTAATGATGAGGGTGGTGAAACGCTGGCACAGGTTGCCCAGAGAGATGACAGATGCCCCATCCCTGGAAACATTCAAGGCCAAGTTACACAGGGCTCTAAGCAATCTGATCTAGTTGAAGACATCCCTGCTCATGCCAGGGACCATTAAAGGCTCCTTCCAACCCAAACCATTCTGTGATTCTATCAAGATCAAAAGGGAGGAGGACAAATGGTCCAGATTTGGAGGTCAGTCAGCAGAGATCACGTTTTCAGCCATAGAGAAGGGCCAGTGCCACACAAGGAACCCAGGCTCATGAATATCTTCCCAGTCAGAGATTTTATGGAAGGACAAGGAATGACCACCAAAGACAGAAGGACTGAAGCAGAGAGCAATAAGGCAGCTGGTATTTGTGATTAACAGCATCCTGAAACACCTAGCTGGGTATTCATGGATTTCCAACATACAATAAAACAGCTGATATGTTTCATGCCTTATCTTCATGCCCTATTGAACATCTCTCACAAGCAATAAATATTGCTACCTGTTTCAGTACAGGGTATCTTATTACAATGAGTCCTATATTCATAATATTAAGCATAACGAGCACAGTGCAGGCCACTTGAAATGTGCTTGCAAACGATGGTTCTGGGTCAAAAAGAAGAGCCATGCCATATCCCAGCCCTGGACCTGACCTGTCTCCATGGGAGCTGCAGCCTGCAGGAGGAATGCTGAAAAAACGGGATACATCAACACCATGGCAGTGGCTGGAGATTGTAGCACCTGATGACCATACAAACAGAAAAGACAGATACTGGAGTAGCAGGGGAGAGGGTGGTGGCTGCAGGTGAGCCTAATACCCAGGGATTAAAGCCTGAGCATCCTCTGGGAGCCAGAGCTGGGATGGGATGCTGCACCCTGCAGGGTACCCAGGGACCACACTCATCCAGAGCAACTTGCTCCGGACAACACCAGCATTGCATTTTTCATGGCATAAATGAACTCAGAGGATGGTTTTCAGAATTCCTGTTTTGTTCAGAGTTCCTTCCTTCATCTGTTAAGCAAAATGCAATGCAATTACCTTGCTGTTCTCTGCGGGATTCAGAGCTGAGCCTAAGCTGTAGCTGGAGATCTGCAAATGCTGAAAACATTTTGATTCCAAATCGACACTCTGCAGCTCCACTTCAGCTCTAAGTGTTCACTCTGCTGTTTTGCCAAATTAACTTACAACTACTCTGCTGTTTTGCCTTGCACCTGGGCTGAAAAAAACCTACTTGTAAGGAAACCCAAGTGTAGTCCTGTGCTCACGATCAGGTCAAGAACATGACCTGTCTGACTGCTATTAAGGCTCCTCTTTCTCATAATTTTCTATTGCATAAACATGTCCAAGCCTCATGTCCTTCTGCTCCCAACAGCTCCCAGTTAGCAGGGCTCTTGCATATCAAGGTTTCGTAAGAAATCAGCAGCAAAATGCACAGGCTCTCAGTTGCACAAGGAAAAGAGATACTTGTTGGGTTTGTTATTGTGGTGGAGGGTGAGGGTGTGGTGAGTAGGGTTACAAATAAGGCCTTTTGAGAATACATTTAGCATTCAATCCTTAATGCTGTCTTGATAAAGTCCAGTCATGTATGATCCGGCCCTGATCGGTGACTTCACAAATAGCTCCGTTTGTTTTTATGATCCTATGAACTGAATCAAAGAAAAGGGTCCGAGTTGTGTTTAAAACTAATGACTTAGCTGTTGACAGTTCAAACTATATTGGCATCGCAAGGTTAGACATGTAGGAAACACCAAAGCTATGACAAGGAGAGCGCTTTGGACACGCTCTGCATCGAAAATGTTCAAGAAATTACTCAAAGGAAAAGTAAATAGCAGTAAAGGTACGAAACGTATTAGTTCTGTTTTTATAACTCTTTTAGAATTCATCCCAGGTTCTTATAAAATATATAAAACTGAGATACAAAGAATTAGCAATGTAACTTTGCATTTCAAATGATCTTCAGCTACAGGTTTTGCTTTAAGAAAACAGACACTTGAAAAGCAGCTAGCTGTTCTGTAGTCTCTAGATGCGGACACTTGAATTCCTGGCAAACTTACCGTGTCAGTGGGTTTCTGAACTCCTCCACCATTTCAGCTCTCTCCTATACTGAAACTCAACACTTCACCATGAAGTTGTTCTGTTCACGGTTTCAAAGAGAGGACGTTACCATTTCCCAGCATCGGTTTCAAAGTTCCTTTTTCCTTCCCCCTCCCCCCCCGTTCTTTTCCTTTTTTTTTTTGTTTTTTTTTTTCCTTTTTCTTTTTTTTGTTTTTTTGTTTTTTCCCTTTATGAGCTTTAAACCACAGGGTGAATCCATGAAATGAGGTAAGTAAATTTGGCACACTTTTAGTCATGTCCATAAAACTTTTGGTAAGTTGTAGAAGTGAACAACATCGTTTTCCTCGTGAGTTACAGGTGCTTTCAAAGGGGGGTGGTTAGTACTTAACAACTGGAATGTTTCTAGTAAAACCAAAAGGCATAGCTGCAGAAAACACTCACAACCCAATGTTGATAGAGAAGTAAAAATATATACAATACAGTCACTTGTTCATAGTTTGGCACAATTGTTTTGTTGTTGTGGGTAATAGTGCATAAACTACTGTACAACAGTATGACTTTTAAAACAGTCTTTCACAGAGAATACCAGATTAGGTTTTGCTTTCAAAGAATAAAATTCCCACAATTTCAAACTCTTCATTTCAGCACTTACATTTCAACGTACCACAAGGCAGATTTCAGAAAGGAACCGATGGGAAAACAAAAAGTAAACCCAACCCAAAAAGAAACCAAAAGGAAACAAACATCGACCGTCTTTCTAGAAAAGGGAGTCTCTTCTTCAAATACAGGAAAACCCAAAAGTGTTGTTTCTGCTTTAAGAAGAATGGAGTCTGATTCCCTGCAGGAAAAAAATCAAACATTTGATGCCATCTCAAGTTAGCTCGTCTGGAGTCACCACCACGACGGAGGGAACGCGCTAAAGGCGGGCGGGTGGAGAAGATGCAGCTTTAGATGATGCAGGTTAGGAGATAAAACAGCAGAGGGGGCCAGAAAGCACTCAAAAATTGCCACGTGAAGCTCAATTAGGAGCGAGTTCTCATTTGCAAAGGAAAAGAGCCTTTTAAGTTTTGAGATCTTGGCTTTTGGATGCATAACCTCTCTTTTTTTTTTTATTTTTTTTGTGATTTGTTTTTAATCTTTTTCTTACAAAATGTTCAAAAAAAAAAAAAAAGAAAAAAAAAGTCTTTCCAAAATCATTAAAAACAGCGTGAAATTGTGGTTTGTTTCGTTTTCCCCCCAATAAATAAGGAATTAAAACCCGAAGAAGCCAAACAGCAGGAAAGAGTAGCCTTGTTAGTTTTGTTTTCACCCCCAGCCAAGCCAGAAAATTGGTCATTCTTTAGGTAGCTTGCAAGTAAGAAGTATTTCATGCATTTCAAAAGGAAAAACCAAACCAACCCAACCAAAAGAAACCCCAAAACCAACCCCAAAACCAAAATGATAAAAAAGGGGAATGTCTTTTTTTGTGTTTGTTTTTTTTTCATGCAACTTTTGCTTTCTAGGAAGGAAAAACTGAGGAGCAGCCTAGCAGGTGGGAAGGAGGTTAAGGGGCATTCCAGCCAGTTTGGTGCAGCATTACCTCAGTTTCTCAAAAGCAGCTGTCACGGGTGGGTCCTTGTGGGGCTGTTCGCGGTCCATTCGCTTGATTTTACAGTTCTCATCCCGCAGCGATTTCGAACTGGATTTGTGACGGTAGAGTTTTTTATGGGTAGGTCCGTTATTGCCTAAAGTGCTCAGGTTACTATAGTTTTTATCAAAAAAGGGAGTGGGAATGTCCGTGGTGAACCCGGTTGAGCAGTTGGGACGACCGGGATCGCAGGTTGCTGCTTTGCCGTTTTTGCTTGAGCCCTTGTTGGTCGACTTGTGGTTCTTGGCTGCGGGTGGTGAGCCACCATTCGCCTTCTTCTTTGACTCTTGGGATGTCCCTGCCAAAATCTTAAGAGTTTTCAGTTTCAGGCTGTTGGATTCCGGTGACCGGAATATGTCTGGAACACTGTTGTGGCTAACAGGCCCCCACAAGGGCTCGATGGAGGCCATCATAAACCGCTGGACATCCGCCATTCCCGACGCGATGTTGGACAGGATGTTGGAAGGTTCTTCAAACTCCCTCTGATCGTCGTCCAGGAGGCTGGTGGCATTGCCCAAGCTGGCTTCTGACCAGCCTGTGCTCCCCTCTTTTCCCAGCGCCCACTCTCCAGACAGCCCATTGTGCTTGCCCAGTTTCACCCCGGCTGGGCTGCAGTGCTGAGAGCTCTCGGCAAGGCCCTTGGTGGCAGTGGCCATGTTGCTCAGCTGGTTGACCACCCTGCTGCCAACAGCCGGAGCCTTCTCAGCATTGACTCCCACCGCATTCTTCCCTTTCCTGGTGGATTTGGGAGCTTGCCTGGAGTTTTTCCCTGGCGGTTTATCAGTTCCTTTGTTGGTTTTGGGCGATTTTTTCCGGGTGGCTTTCGGGGAAGAGCTTTGGTTTGTACCCACATTCTTGCTGGATGAACTTTTCCTCTTCGATTTTGACACTTTGCTATTGGTGCTAATTTGACCAGATGGCTCATTAAATGTTGACAAGCATGGACTCTTTTCGAGAAGGCTGACAGAATCTTCATCGTTGAACATATGGAACTGGAACTGGTGATTATTTAAAGCAAACCCATTATCTGCCTGATCCTCGCTCTGCAGGACCCCACAGTTCCACTTGACCTTCTCGGAGCTGTTGAGGGCAGCCTGGGGGTTCTCTTGAAAGCCCTTCAGGGTGCCCAGAGGCTTGGTGTCGGAGCCAGCTATCTGCGGGGACAGGTTGGGGGTGTCCGGAGGGGACATCTCCGAAAGCGACGACTGGCGGAATCTATCAGGCGTGAAGTTGGAGATGTCTAAAAGGTCCGTGGACTCCTTCAATGGGCTGATTTCATCTATGCTTTGCTGGATCACTAGCTTGGGACTGCAGTGGGCCAGGAAATCATCATTAATATCATCCTCACCATCCTTCTCGCAAGACTTTAAACTTAAAGAACTGTAATTGCTTGAACTAACTGACAATGAACCCACTGAATCAAAACTAATGAGCCTGCCATCATCTGTACTTAGTGTACCTCGCTGGAAATGAAAGCGCCCCTCTCCATTATTAAAATGACATGACTGATAGGAATCATCAGACTGCACTTGTTGGTTATCCGGCATGTAATTTTTTTGGTAAAGCAATTTGCCGTTGTTCAGAGTGACTTGAGTGTATCCAGAGGCAGGGAGGCCGTCGGCACCCGTGGTGCTGCCGCCGCTGCCAAACTCGCTCGGCAGCCCGGCCGCCTCCTGCATGTCTCCGGGGAAGTCCTGGTGGTTGCTGCCAGCAGCTTTGCTGGCCGGCCACATGCTACTGAAGCTGCTCTGCTCCATCTCCAAGTGGCCAGGAGACTGCTGCAGCTCCGACTCGGAGGGCGGGGAGAGCACACAGCTCTGCGCTGGCTGCAGAGCCGGGAAGGGCTTTTCCGCTGGGACGATGCTGGGGAGCGAGTGCTGCTGCTGCTGCTGCTCGGAGGGATGCTGGGTGAAGTATGAGATACCGGTGTTGCTCGACAAATCAGAAGCATCTAACAACGTCTGCAGATACCCTCCGGGGATCAGGGGTACATTGGTGGTGATATTAGCAGATGGCAGAGGCTTGTCTGAAGAGGAGGTGGATGGTAGGAAAGGAGAATTTTTAGCAACCTTATCCTCGTGGCACTCCGGGAGATGTGAGCTGTCTGAAGCACAGGGTATGTTTTCGTCCTTCAGACGCGCTGCAGAGTCCTGGTTTTCCAGCGCCGGGGAACCCTCCGCCGTGCTGGTAGCAGCTTTGATCTTCTTGCACTTCAACCTGGCTTCACTTTTGAATTTGATTCTGCGGAGCACTTTCCTCTCCTTGTGCTCCCGTTCCTGGGATTTGCATTTCACGGCAGTGATGCCTGGGATGTCATGTACGTGCAATCCATTGGCACAGCTGGGGGTAGCGATGGCCAACGTTGGCAGCCCTTTCAGGCCTGCGTCCTCTTTACTGCTGCAAGGCTGCTTGTGATCAGAGGAGCAAGAACCCAGCTTGTTCACTGACTGCTCGATGGCTTTAATTCTTTGAATCCGGTGCCTGTTTGCTAGCTTGCATTTTCGCTTCCGTGGGTGAGGGAGGAATGAAGCATCTGAGCCGTTAAGATAGAAATTCTGCTTGTGGTAGAGAGACGATCTGAGCAAATCCAGCCGGCTCTGCTGCCTCTCTTGCCAGAAGCCCTTCAGTGGGGCCAGCTTCTTGTATTTGCTGAGCAGCTCCTCGTTTAGGGTAACAGTTGTCTCATTGGCATCCACTTTGCTGAGCTTCACCAGCATATGCTTCTCCCCTTTAAACCTGTTAATGATGATGTACTTGATGATAACGGGGGGCTCCTTGCGAGAGACTTTTCGCCGTTTCTTGGGGCACCACTCATCATCATCCTCTTCCTTGGGCCCATCAGGGAGCCACTCCTTCTTATCCAGGATCTTCTCATTCTCGATGGAGTCCACATCGTACAGGTAGTCATCGCTGTATCGCACTTTCCTTTTAGCCCGCAGCCCATAGTTCTGCTGAATGAAGGAGCCAGAGTGGTCCCGGGACAGGTACCGGCTGCAGTCCTTGATATCCCGCAGCACGTCGTAGGAGGACTCTGTGCAAGTACTGTCGTCACTGAACTCCCCGGAGTCTTCCGTGGAATTCACCGAGTCCAAGAAGTGGCTCCTCTTGGAGCCCACGTACTGCACCATCTCCGTGCTGTTGCAAGATTTATTTAAGGCAGCTTTCTCCTCCTCCTCGCCATCCTCTTCCTCACCATCCTCCTCCTCCTCCCCCCAGATGATGCCTTCTTCAGACTTGAATTGTGAAGGGTCGGTGGCACCGCTGGGCCCCCTTTTCAGGGTGCTCCTGCTGTCCCTTTTGGTGCAGTTCCCAAACACGCTGGGGAAGAAGTTGAACTGGGCGTCCTCCTGTAGGGTGGTGGTCTTCTCCCGCACGTTGTCCTGGAAAGATTCATATCTAATCTTTAGGGAGCAGACATCGCTTCCCAAGGTAGAATCGTCGTCATCGAACATGTAATTATCCACGTCTTCCTCAGAAAACAGATTTACAGAAAGCTCATTTTTGGAGCAGAGGTCAAGCAGCTCAATTTTACTTTCACTAATGAAAGATTCAAAATAGCCCCATTCCTGGTTGGGATTTGTTAGTAAAGGTTCCTCACCATTGCATTTGTCTAATAGTAATCCCTCGTAATAATTTTTCTGAGTGGGGTCCTCTGAATCACTGTCAGATTTTTCTGCATCTCTTTTGTCCGCTGCCCTCGATTTATGCATAGGGAAGCTTAAAAGCTGGTCTGAAAGCAGTTGATCCCCATATCTCATGGTTTCTCCTGTGCTCATGCAGTGAATCCCTATATCAGAGACTGAACAGGTGTCATAATCCCTATTTATATCCCCCACTTTCAAGCTTATTCCCGGCTCTGCATCAATGCCGTCCTTTGATTCAATAAAGCAGCCCAGACAGGTCCGGCTCGGCTGCATCAAGCAGTCACCCGTCAACGCTGACATGCCTCCAGGCTCCATCATGGTGAAAGGAGCCTTCTCGCAGTCACCCGGCAGTGACCAGGAGCTCATGCCCTTCGTCACGCAGGACGTGAGGGAGATGGCGTGGGCAGAGGAGTCATCCGAGGCGTGCTCGGGGACATCCGTGAGCCGCAGCGGTGACGGGGGGCTCAGCAAGCAGGGCTTCTTGGACGTCAGGGGAGGCAGCGCCCGGTGGCACGCGTGGTTTTCCTTCTGAGCTGTCGTCAAGGCTGAGAACGTGACCGCGGCGTCGGTGGCGGTGCAAGGCCTCTCATCGCCGTCCAGGGCGTGCAACTCTGGAAGGGTAAGGACAAGGGAGGGAAGAAACAAAGAAAAAGAGGATTTAACAACCTCGCAGCTCTGCTTGGGCTCAACGCCCCGCTCCCTTTCTCCCTAGGGTCTGGTGGTGATGATCAGGTCAAAGGAGGTGATCCTGCACCTCTACTCTGTTCTGCTTAGATACCCCACTTGGAGCACTGTGTGCAGTTCTGGTGTCTCCAACGTAAGAAGGACATGGAGCTGTTGGAGCAAGCCCAGATGAGGATGATCAGGGGACTGGAACACCTCCTGTATGAAGACAAGCTGAGAAAACTGGGGCTGTTCAGCCTGGAGAAGAGAAGGCTGTGTGCAGACCTCTGAGAGGCTTCCAGTATCTGAAGGGGGCCTACAAGGATGCTGGAGAGGGACTCTTCATCAGGGTCTGTAGTGACAGGACAAAAAATGATGGGTTTAAACTGAAACAGGGGAGATTTAGGTTAGATATAAGGAAGAAATTCTTTACTATGAGGGTGTTATTTAGTAGTCTTTACTGGCACAGGTTGCCCAGAGAAGCTGTGGCTGCTCCATCACTGGCAGTGTTCAAGGCAGAGTTGCATGGGGCTTGAAGCAACCTGCTCTAGTAGAAGGTGTCCCTGCCCATAGCAGGATCTTGGAACTGGATGAGCTTTAATGTCCCTCCCAACCCATTCTAGGATGCTATGACATTTCCCATGCTATGACCTTTCCCAGCCGCTCCTTTGGGAAGTGCACATGCCCCACGAGATCCCTTCCGGATGTAATTAACATGGTGATGTGCAAGGAAGGGAGAGGTAAACACTCCCCCCGTGCAGCCAGCTGGAAGAGGTACAAGAGTATGTTTAACAAACCAAACCCATCCGTTCTTTCCTCCTCATATACATACCGTTACCTGGATACTGCCTTTCCAATCTGACAAGGTTATTAAAAAACAAAACAAGCCTAATAAAAACGTTCCCATTAACATGGAAAAAAATTAAGGGAAAAATAAGATTCTTAAAGAAACAAAGCATCCCCCCTGTGGTGTCTGCAGCTGAAACGTACCTGAGCTGCGTTCCTGCTTGAGAGGCAAAAAATTATGGCTATTTTTAAGAAGCTTTAAAAGTCTTTTTGTCACTGTCCACACCAAGGGGAAGTAGAAAGTCCCACAGAGTTTAAAGCAATGGTTGTTAGAGTTATTGTGGTTTTTGCCATCCTTCCCTACTCTCTAAAAATGCCTTTTTAACAATGTAAGGATGGGTTTTTTCAACCTAAGGATTTTGTATTTTTACCTCGTCGCACGCTTTTATGGCAGAATAAAGTCATGGATATACTTTTATCTGACTTCTGCTTCAATGGATGAGACGACCCTTGAAATTTAAATATGGTGTCTTTTCATCCAAAAACATGCTCTGATATCACTGTATTAAATATATATATATAAAAATATATATAGATATACATACACCCCAATGTGTGCATTCATACCAGTCATAAAGCTCTGCTGACTTGGAGCTGAGCCCGATGCTTCTGTAGTGGCTCCATATAGTGGCTTCATGGTGGCTCCACTTCAAGCGGGGGGCAAAAGCAGAAGCAACACAGGCTTCTCAAGGAGTGACAAGCCCTTTAAAAGGCAGTTGGAGCACCAGGCTGCCATAAGGAATGGGGTATCCAAAGGGATTTGGCACCTACATGGTTGCTTTTATTCAAAACTGATAGAAAAGCAACCCTCTTACTGCATCCCTGGCAGTGTTCAAGGCCAGGTTGGACACAGGGGCTTGGAGCAACCTGCTCTAGTAGAAGGTGTCCCTCCCCATGGCAGGGGTTTGGAACTGGATGAGCTTTAAGGTCCCTTCCAACCCAAACCAGTCTTGAAACTACATTTAATTAAAGCACTTTTAAAGCCCTCTCTAACTGAATTTCATGGCTACAGTATCAGTTTCTAGAAATGACCCATCTTTGCTGAAGAGGTAAACACTGACTTTACTGCCTATTAGATTAGACAAAGGGACCACAGCTAGAAAAGGAAGGGAAACACCAGCACTACAAAATACCCACTGTGCTGGTCAGGGTTCCAGCCTCCAAGTGGGCAACATGAAAAGGAGCAGGATGTGATGGAGGGCTGCCTGCCTGTGCCAAACATAAAACTTAGAGGAGGTCAAAATCCCCCTAATCTCATCCCAAAATGTTCCAGCAGTTTTGTGCTACAGGAGCCTTAGGGACAGAGCCATTTGGTCAAGTCGTAAGCCAGTAGAAGCAAGCTGCAGTCGGAGCCATGCAGCACTCTGCGGACTTCAAATAACTTTCTGACCACTATACAAATCAAAGCAGAAGTGCAGTGCAGTGCAGTTCATGTCTTCAACATGAGTGACTTGGAAAAGACCAGACTGACTTGTTTGAAATCTGTGATGTTTCCCTTAATAAAAAGGGTTAAAAAATGACATAAATAAAACGAGCTGATTTTTGAGTCCCTCCCACCAGTTTTTCGATCAGAAATGCAGAGGTGGTGTCTTTTTCCTTAAGCACCAAAACAAATTAACCAGTGCAGTTCCACTTCAGAAGTAAAATAAAATAAGAATCAGCTTGGAGCTGACAGGAAGCATGGAAAATTTGAGGATAAAAGAAGAATGTCTGTGAATGCCGCAAGACTCAAAGAAGGGGGAGGCAGAAAGCTGAAATTCAACCTCAAATGCTGCATTCAATGGGCAGAGATGCTATTATATAAAATAAACTGTCCCTGGGTGTTTCGTTAGGTTTATACTTGTGTAAGTGAACTTAATTCCTGTGGAATACAAATGCCAAAACTTGGTTTTCTAGGGCTTGTATCATGCTAAGATCAGGTGCATGTTCAGGGGATGCTACGAAGTAAACAATACTCCAAAGGGCTACAGTTAAAATGCTGGAGAAACAAAACCACCTTTCTCAGTTTAACTCAACAGCACATGGGCAGCCTGAGTGGAAAACTACTGAGCTGTCTGCTGCCAGCCAGCTCTGAAGACAGACCAGACTCATGGTTAGGGTGAGAGGAGGCAAAGAGCATCAGCCCCATCCCCAGGGCCATCAACAGGGAGGTGGTGGCATCAGTGCTACTTGGTGGCTCACTGCTTTGGATCCAGGGGCACCTCCTACACAACCATGCTTAAACTGGAAGTTTAACCTGCCAGAGGGGAGATGGAGATGAGCTCTTAGGCAGAAGTTCTGCCCTGTGAGGGTGCTGAGGCGCTGGCACAGGGTGCCCAGAGAAGCTGTGGCTGCCCCATCCCTGGCAGTGTTCAAGGCCAGGTTGGACACAGGGGCTTGGAGCGAGCTGCTCTAGTGGAAGGTGTCCCTGCCCATGGCAGGGGTTGGAGCTGGATTAGCTTTAAGGTCCCTTCCAACCCAAACCAGTCTTGAAACTATATTTAATTAAAGCACTTTTAAAGCCCTCTCTAATTGAATTTCATGGCTACAGTATCAGTTTCTAGAAATCACCCATCTTTGCTGAAGAGGTAAACACTGACTTTACTGCCTATTAGATTAGACAAAGGGACCACAGCTAGAAAATCTACTTGCAGCTCCAGCCGCTGTCATCAGCTGTGGCTTTACCATGTGCAGTCATGAAGGAGATGGGCTGACAATGGCAGTTACCTCCAGTATCACATCGCAGGGGCAAGTACAAGTGCACATTTCACCTAGCACCAGCATACGCTGCAGTGTCCTCATGGGCGTCCTCAAGTCTGGAGTTGCTCAGGGTTTTTGGTGATGAATAACAGCAGCATTTGCCTCTAAGCACCTTGTTTTGAAGTGACAGAAGGATTTGAACATACAAGATGTTCCGTTCTGGTGTCCTCAACATAAAAAGGACATGGAACTGTTGGAACAAGTCCAGAGGAGGCCACGAGGATGATCAGGGGCTGGAGCACCTCCTGTACGAAGACAGGCTGAGAAAGTTGGGGCTGTTCAGCCTGGAGAAGAGAAGGCTGCGTGGAGACCTCAGAGCAGCCTTCCAGTATCTGAAGGGGGGCTATAGGGATGCTGGGGAGGGACTCTTCATTAGGGACTGTAGTGACAGGACAAGGGGTAACGGGTTAAAACTGAAACAGGGGAAGTTTAGGTTGGATATAAGGAGGAAATTCTTTCCTGTTAGGGTGGTGAGGCACTGGAATGGGTTGCCCAGGGAGGTTGTGAATTCTCCATCCCTGGCGGTGTTTAAGGCCAGGCTGGACAGAGCCTTGAGTGACCTGGTTTAGTGTGAGGTGCCCCTGCCCATGGCAGGGGGGTTGGAACTGGACGATCTTCAGGTCCTTTACAACCCAAACTATTCTATGATTCTGTGTCAGAGAACAGTTCTTGATAGCTAGTAAGGTCAAACCTTTATATATAAATAAACTTCTCTCTCTCTCAAGATTTACAGGGCAATAGAAAATGTAAAAAGCCATGAAAATAAAAATAAAAACATGGTGAAGAATGGGAATGTCAAGCTCTGCCTCAGTGCTGGACTGCCCCTGAATTTACTGTGGCTGGTGACTACAGTCCAAATGACTTGAGAAACTGCTCAGAGGCATATTTATTCCAATCAGGTTTTCAGACAGCAGAGCACTGTTACTCCCAATTAGTTATTGCTTTCGAAAGCAAATATGGAATCAATTAAACAGATACAGCAACATTAGGTATTTTGGGCTGGCTGCTGGAAGAGTCACAGGTGCAGCCTTTCCTTTCCATGGGTGCTTAATCTGGGTCTGTTTCTTCTACCCAATCTAATTTTAAACCAAGTTGTAGGGACTAAGTATCCTTCAGCCAAATTTTGCCGAGATTAGCTAGTGGGTTCAGAAGTAACTGTGAAGAGAGGCAAGAAATCCCAACAGGCAGAGGGCTGCATAGTCTTGTATGACTTCTTTCCCCTAAGAAACCAAACTAAAATCTGTAATTCAAACTGCGTGTGCACATGAATATTTCCCACCATGCATATGTATGGGCAAAAGCAGTACTTGTTAAGACGTAAAAAGGTGGAGATTCATAGCTGCAGTGACATCTGTGCAGAAAATACCCATCTACTGAACTGCTCCACGCTGCAGAGATACCTGCCCACTGCTAAAATTAAATACATGGAAAGAATTAGGGAAATAAGTTGGCTGCAAGTTGTCACTGCTCCCTCATGTACTGTAATTAAGTTCCTTACCGTTTTCTTTCACCCCATTAATCAGGATCGTTTCTTGGTCTTCTGAGGCACAATCCTGCTCTTGTTGGTCATCCATCAATTTAACCTCTTTCTGTTCACTCCATGCCCCGCTGCATCTGGCCAACCTGCACATTGCCACAAACGTAACAGCAGTCAGGACAATTCCCAGAATTGGGCTCAAGGAAGTGTGAATAAAAAATAGCAACAATAAAACCTCCCACAGCCTCCCATGCTGCCCTTGCCCTGCTTAAGAGGACACGTACTATTTATTTAGGCTGTTGTATTTTCACTTTTCCACTCCACAAGCCAAGTCCAATGTATTTTGGGTGAGGTTAAAATGTTATACATCACCATTTCCTTCCCCAAAGTCCTTCTTTAGAAGGTGGAGCGGTGCTCTGCACCTCTGCAGTACCCTTTGCATCGCTCCAAACTGCTTTGCAAAGGCAAAGGTAAGTGCTGTTATCTCCAGATAGGTGAGCAGAGACATAAAGAGGAGAGGACTCACCATAGTTCAGGCAACAACAACTGCATCAAGTTGCAAGAGAAATGCAAATATCCCAAATGGCAACTGCTTGCCCTAGCTACCTGTCACTGGTCCACTCTTCCCAGCACTGACAGGTATGAAAACACCCTCATAAAAGCAGCTTTTTTTGGGGAAAAAAAGCATTTCTGGTCTCATTCTTCACTCTAAACATGGCAGCACGAGAGCTCCTTCCTTGGAAGCCCCATTCCCCTGACACCTACCACTGCCCGCACCATCCCCATTAGGTGAAGTTTCATCTCGGTTCTGTCACCACCAGTGGAGGCTGCCTGGACTTTATGATCCTTCTCCAAAGCAACAAAGCCAAGATCAGAATCAAGCCCAGATTTTCTCTCTTCCTCCACTGAAGATTCCCCCCACATTAAATGGATCACCTGCCTAAGGACAGGGAGACCGTGCTATGGCTGAGTCCATGTACGGGTGGCACAGGATAACCCTCATCAGTGCTCCTGATGAATTTCACCTCTGACTGTAAATTCAAGTCAGAAACTACTTTTTTTTTCCTTCTGGCAACTGGAACTTAACTTTTTCTCTCTCACAGAAGAGGTTCTAGATTGAAGCATTGTTTTAGGGTTATTTTTGTGTGTGTGTTTTTAGTGTTAATCAACATTTGTCACTGTCTGATCTTCCCACAGCATTCACTGCCCTGGGTGCAGCAGCCAAACTTCATTCATATTCAGATTTGCAGTGGAGTCCTCTTAATTAACGTGAAATCTTTACAACCGTCTTAGTAAGTGAAACCTTCACTGAACTTAAAGATGTTGTGACACCAAGAGTAAGATAAGAATAACAAGCATCAGTAACTCAATTCCTCTGCATATTTAGAGGAATATTTAACTAACCCTGAGAGCTTTATTTGATGCAAATCCGCATTTCAAAGCTCTCGGCATGCCGGTTGATTCACCGCAGTAAGACCCCTCTCTCCTGCCAGAACCCCCACCCTCCCCACCACCCCGCGCTCCCACAGCCACCAAGAGAAGCTCCGGATGAAGCATCACTGATGGGTAACAGGAGCGACTTCAAATGCCAAAGCACAGACCAGGCATCGCTGGGAGTTCATCTCCATGCAACCTGAAGAAGATTAACTTCTAAGTGCAAAAGCTGCTCTGCGTTTTCCAGTGAGCCTACAACTTCATGCCTCCTTGATAACATCTTCTGCCTATTAAACATATCTTAATTAATATATAAATATTAATAAATGAAGGTTTTAAAATGTGTATTAATGAAAATATTAATAGAATATCTTAAGCCTCAGGAGAAGCACAGGCTTTGCGGGAAATCAGAGAACTACCAATGGCCCCACATGTGGTCCAGCATGACCTCTGGGGAGGGGGCTGTTTGATGCTCCAGGAGAAGGAAAGGCAGAGCTGAGTAAGGAGCTTCAATAGATTGTGCCCTGGTAGATGTGTTTGCACACCCTCGTGGTTTGCCAGGTGGGAGAGACACGTGCAAAGACCTTCCACTTCAATTACCCACGGGCAGGTAGGGTTGGAGGATGGCACATCTGGCTATGCACATTTACAGATCTGAGCATGTTGGTCACTTCATTGCACCCCGTGCGGGTGACGGGACTATCACCTTCAACATACAGGTCACAATCAACCTTTTTGTGTACTCTGATCTCCACCACCTTTCTGAAGCACAGAGGTGATGCTCTGCTAGAGGCACAGTCACCCACAAAGTAAAAGGGTAGAGGCCCTGCCATGGTGCCCTGCTTGAGACTCTGCAGCTGAAGAGCTTCAGCATTCAGAGACTCCATCCACAATTTATTCTATTAATTTCCCCAATTATTTTCAACCCTGTTGACACTGCTGGCCTCCACAGCACCTTGTGGTAATAATGCACGTGGCAGCTTCTGTGTTGTGTGAAACCTGCTTTTGTTTGGTTTGAACCTGCTGTCCTTCAAAGGACAGGCCAAGTTTTCTCACAAGAAACACAGCCTCAGCCCTAGAGATGACTTGGAGTATGACCATCATTTAAATAATCAGTAATATTCACATTCACAGGGGAATCACGGCAACATTCCAAGTTAACCAAGTACATAAACCCAGTCAGGATACTACTGAACTTTTCCTCACTGTTCAATGTTTAACCCACAGGAACTAGGTTGAGGGGTAAGAGCTGACCCAGTGTTGCTGTAGAAAGCTTCTTCTCACAAGTCAAGTCTTTGTTTTATCAACATGATAAGCTGAGACCCACAGATTTAAGCCCAGAAGCACAAGCACCATATCTGCGTGACTTTGCTGACCTGTTTGTTGCCTGGGTGTACTGGTTTATAGCCATTTGGTGTAAAATGCCACAGGTGGCCTGTTTTCAACCAGTAACGTAACCACAGCCATATCAAAGTAATGGTTTGCAATGAATAAAACATAGGACAAACCAGAAACAGTAATTCTCCAATAATGTAAATCTGTCACTCCCAGCACACAAAACATCTCCAGAGAGAAAATAACATGGACATAAACCACTAGCAAGCTCACCAAGAATGATCCCAAGCATTTTAAAGAAGGCATCACCCTATGATTGCTGGGATTTCCACCGGAGGAGGAAGGAGCAGGGTCTTACGTGTCTCTCTGCCTGCCTGCTTCTGGCTCCTTCGGTTTGTGGAGTCAGTGGTTTGACCCCAGTTTGCAAACACACATGAGAGAGGCTTCTGCCTGTCCTTACTTCTGGCAGATACTCAATGGCCAGCCTTCAAGGAGAGAGCAGGGCTCATTTTGGGCAATGGACTGAGAAGGTGAGCAGTGGGCAGCCAAGGAGGCAGAAAAAGAGAGTTTGTAGGCGGGGAAACGTGTGGGACTTTTAATCCTCTATTATTATTTTTCGGTGTGTGTGTGCATGAAGGGGAGGGAAATGCAGAAAGGACTTTTCCAGTGGACGCAATCCAAAGCTCCGAAAAAACAATGAAGACAATGAAATGCAAGAACAAAGGGGACGTGCCTGTGCACAACAGAGTCAACTGCAGTAACTCGGACAGCAGAGCTGAGCTCTAGAAATGACCTGGAGAGAACTGAGAAGAGTTCAGACAGGGGATCCTCACATACAGTCAGAGAGAGATGAAGTGCGAATGACACAGACAATGTGACGGTCCCTGAGACCTGCTGAACAAGGGGACCATTTGGGAGCAGTGTGACCATGAAAGGTCGCATCCCAAGAGGGACAAGGAGAAACACCGGCGACTGCGAAAGAAAAGCTGACAAAGAGGTTTGATGTGATGCAGAACAAGAAGAAACAGAAGGCTGGGAATAACAAAGAGGAGGAGAACAGCTGGGTCCCTGGGAAGAAAAACTAAATCAAGAGAGGTCTGGGGTATAAAGGCAACGGGCAGAGAATACACCAGGTAGAAGGAAGGCACAGTACACAGAACCATCTGCAGACAGAAGTATAAAAGGGAGAGAACATGGATTTCAGAGAGCATCAAGCCATTGAAGAGGTATGTGATGGGGGTCACGCTATTAAGAACTGACAAGAGGAAAATCAGCCACCAGCTTGAAGTTTATGAACTTGACTGGAGCTGGAGTGGATGGAGGAGCAAGAGGATGGCGTGTGGAAGATGATGGTCAAAGCCACGAACTCCAGGCCTCTGGAGAAGGAGGGCAGGAGCACAGCTTGGCATGCTGTGCCGCAAGGACGGTCACAGGTGGTTCAGTCACAGGGAAGAATTCAGAAGGGCTTTTTTTGATTGCACCACATACTTTAGGGCATTGGTCTGCTAAGATCAGAGCTGGCACAAGAGAGAAAGATAGGAGCTAAGAAAGGAGATCAAAGGGAAGAAGCCTCAGAAAGCAAGGAGTGGAGCTAAACAATAATTCAACTAGATGTAAGCACGGGATAGACAAATTAATGGACAAAAGAATGGGATGCAGTTGCCCATGACAGCAATACCCAGGACTTGGTGACCTAGAGAAATCCCTTTCAGCCCTATGACTCCAGTCAGGTAAACGATGGCAAGTGCCTCAGAAAAACCCTCAGCATCACAGCTGAGAAAATCCTCCATTCCTCATGGTTCCTGTCAGTTTTCCCACTGCTTGTGCTAATGGGGTTGTACAAAAGCTGTTAGTGACAAATCTGGAAGAATACAAACGCAGCACCCAAAATGGACCTTCCTGTTGCCTTGCAAGCAGGTTCCCTTCAGCCCAGATGGCAAATTAACACAAAGCACTCAAGATTGATTCTCATAATACTCATCATGATACTCAAGATGTTTTACAGGCATTGCTGCTGCTGGAGTGGAGGCAGACGCAGTCAGAGAACAAAAGCCAGTGTCCCAGCTGAGGCCCCACTAGCTCCCTCTGCTCAGCAATACAGCAATATCCTGGTAAAACATTCCTTCTGGTGATGCTCTTTGGAGTAAAACCAGATTATTTCTTCTTCTGTAAATTCAACAGGGTATGAAGAGCAACAGCAACACGAGCAATGCTCACTATCGGAAAGGAAATCAAGGAATGCTGGTTATTCACCTATAGAATGGAGGAGGAAATGCCTGAATCACAAAGCCAAAACATCTGGACATGTTCCTACATTCATCTCCAGTCACGTAAATGATGGACCTTACGGTCACTTAAAACTGGCACTTTTTTTCAC